TAAACATTTTAGATCAAACATTCATCCAAAAAAATCATCTGTGTTCTTCAATGTTCTTCAAGGTGTTCATCAGAAAAACAAAAAAAATTATCAACGATTTCCATTTTATGATAAACAAAAAACTCCTCGTTATCTTCAACAGTTAATCATCAGCAAACTTTTTAGATCACACAGCTCATATCTCAAATCGATGTACCCCTCCTTCTCTCACAATCACAGGTACTCTCCTTCCAGTTCTAGCTTCAATCGATAACAACCACAACCCTCCCTTCCTCATATTTTGTTCTGATTTGATTCTCACCCTACCTTCTTCGATTCAGATCACACGATCTTGGTGATGGTGTGTCTGGTGGTGTTGAATGGAATTCTGTGGTAAATCAAGAAGAGATTAAGGTTAGTCAACATGAGAGAAGAAGGTGAGGAGGGTTGATTTGTAGGGGTGGTGACAGGATGGTTGTCGGATCTCCATTGTTTCTCACCATTATTGAACCTCCATCATTGCCCACCATGGAGCTTTCAAACGACGGTATAAGCAGAGCAGGAGCTTTAAAATGATGGTGGAGGCAGATCAGGAGCTTTAAAGCGACATAGAAGTTCAATAAAACAAAACAGAGCATCGAAAAACTAACTTAGAAGATGGATGAGATGGAGCCCCCTGTGGAGGAAGAGAAGCACGATCTGACGCAAGCACTAATTTAAAAAAAAAAAAAAAAAAAAAAAAAAACGGGTTCAGGGGGACTTGGAAGAATCTTCGATGGTTGATGATGTTAATGGAGAAGCTCCGAAGGTAGCTTTAAAGAGAGGAATTTTGGAGAAGCTCCACCATTATCAGACATTGGATGCCATGTTTCAATTAATGGTCATAAGATGTAGGAGAACGAGAACCTGTGGACAACAGTGTAGGGGTTGATGAAGCAAGGAACGAACAAGTGGGGGATACATGGGGTAAGTCGGTTGGTGATCGTATAGAACAAACAGTAACGACCTAAAATGCAGGTCCTAGCTCCAACGATAGCTTTGATGCATGGATGTGGATTTTGGGTGAGTGTGCGTTCTTGAGACTATATGTTTGTGGAGTAATGGACTCCGATCTAGTATCTGAAACCGCTTGCTTATAGTAAACTGCAAATGGGAGAAGGCCACTGAAACCCTAGAAGTATCGGGGTTAAATGGAACCACGTGATGAAGGATGTTGGTTCCAGATAATGTTGTTAGTTCTGGATATCAGTGATGAGGATGGAACCGGGTGATGAAGGGCTTCTTTAAGATAAGAGTGGGGAATGGGTTATTGTTTTTATTATTTTTGTTTTAAGTTAAAAAGATATAAATTAAACTAGTTTATGTATTTTAACAATTAAAGAAAATAAAAAATATAAATTATAAGGGCATAACCGTCATTTTAAGTGTATAAGGACCAAAACCAATAGAAAAATCTAATTTTGGACCAGTGATGCACCAACATTTCGTTTTGGACCAAAATCACATAAATTTACCAACCACAAGGACCATTTTTGCAATTAACTCTTCTTTTTGTGTATGAGTTTAGACTTGATAATGAAAGGGTCGGTGGAGTAAGGAAAAAATAAAGGATATAGTACAATACTTTACCTGACAAAATATTTACCTTATCAATGATCAATTTTTAATTTATTAATGTTATTTATTGTTTGTTTAATATGTAAATACAATATATAAACAATAGAATACTTATAAATTGAACGAATATAATTATGGGTTAGAATGTAATGAGATTAAATATAATGACAATATATAATTATTTAGTTTTGATATAATCATGAAAAAATCAATAATTTTTATTTTTAAAAAATGTATGTAAACGTTAGTTATAATATATTTACATTTTGAAAGGGAACTTACCAAAGAAAAAAAAGATTCTAATGAGTGATGTAAAAAATATTTGTTACTAGTTTTCTTGTTTCGAATTTGATGTCATAATTTTAAACCTTTTTTTTTGTCCATATGATTTTGTTATGAAATTTTAATCTCGGTCCTCCTAGTTGTAATGTTTGTGTTGAAGTTGAATACTTAAGCAAATCTCTACATTTCTTGAAGTTTGTGTAAGAAAAACTTTTATTTTTAATGTATCTTACTTGTGTGATCCTTCTTCGTAAATATAGATTCAAGTTTAACTAAAGAAAAACTTTTATTTGATCACTTCTTGAAGAGGGTTGTTATGTAAGTGAAGTTCGATTTGAACAAGAGCTTTACGTTCCTTTCTTTATCATTATTTGTCCAGGTAGATTTTCTTTACCTCCAAAAGAATCCAAGTCATTTTGAGCCAACTTCTCTCTTATCTTTACACGATCTAATAATGGAAGATCATACTTGATGGTAGCCATAAAAATGATTACATAACCTATAGAAGGCTCGGAAAAACTAATAATATGGAAGCATGTTTATAGGGTATGGAAAACTAATGAGGTCTTGAAAGAAGTTGAAGGAAGAAATCTATTAAAGGAAAAGGAATTATTGGATGCCACAGAGTATAAGAAATCAAATTTAAAGAACCCTTTAAAGGGTTTAGGCTATATATAAGGGTTTTGGAATCTTGAAACATGGAGCTCTAATACCACTTGTTATATAAAAGTGGTGCTTAAAACACAATTTTTTTAAATCTTGCAATCCCTTAGCCCAACCTTATTCCAAAAAAATTCCCCATCTCTAAATATGTTCTAGGAATCCAACCCTTCAAACTGGAAGTCTAATTTTTTTGGAAACCCGAACCTCGGAGTTGAATATGTTCGGGAAATCCAACCCAAACCATCCAACCCTAAAAGACGAGAAAATGGAAAGGGAAAAGCATTGATTAGAAAAAAAGCGGCCGCTCAACAATAAACATAAGAAGAAGGGAAAAAAATTAGCGGGATCATGAGTCGACATTTCTGATGATCCCATAATTGGAAATGCGCAAAAATATGATCATTTTTGGTGACACATTATTGAGCGGTTTTACAAGCGTATGGGTCGTGGTAAGTACCGTATAAAAGAGGAATGTATTAGAAAGTTTCATAAAATGAACAAATTGCTCACAAAATTCAACAGGACGTACAACAACTTGCTAAGTCAATGAAAAGGAAGGGAAAACAATACTATTATTTTCGAGACAGACGCTTGAACTTTTTTAAATTTGACAACAATGGGAGGCCATTCAAATTTATCGATGTTTGGAAATTCTTAGTTACTTCCCTAAAATGACAAAAAGTGTATGTCATCGAAGAAAGTGGTTCGAAAAGAACCAAAATTTCCGAGACAAGTTACACTACTTCACCGGATGCTCATTTCGGGTTTGATATGAATAGAGAGGGTGGGCTTGAACTCAAAGAGGTAGTCCACCCGGTGGGTCAAGATAGGGTGAAAAAGATAGGGTTTTCATCTAATGCATCGGGAGTCGAAAGAGGATTTGATGTGTGTAGAGATGGCAACGGGAGCGGGGAATACATGGGACCCCAATCCCTATACCCCATCCCCAAATTCTCATTCAAATCCCCATCCCTATCTCCATTGTGAATATAAATAAATCATCATCCCCACCCCCAATGAGGACCTAGATGTGCGCAATGTGGCAAATAGTTTCGAAAAATATAATTTCAATTTCGAAACTCGTTTGCAATTCGAAAAGGAGAAAACACACTAAAGAAAAGAATGAGCGATAAAAGAAGCAAAAAACACGAAAAAAACTCGAAATGTTAAATTTTAATGCAAAAGATCGACAATTTTTTTTCGGAAACGAGCTCGTGATGGTTTTGGAGGCAGAGGAAATCATGAAAAAATATTTCAATTAGTGTTATTTTGTATTGTTTTTTATTTACTTTTCATTTTTTCCTATGTAATCATTTAATTAAAATAATGAAATTTCTATTTTATTATTTTAAATATGTATTTCAAATATTTATATAATTATAAAATTATATTTTAACATTAATTAAGAAAAAAAGAATTAAAAAAATAAAAGGTTGTGTGGTAAACCAATTCACATCACTTAATCGGGCAAATAGCAGGATAAGAAAAAATGATATGACACTAATAACATGCCCAAAAATTAGAGGTGTCAAATCGGGTCATCGTGTTGTGTTTTTGTCTGACACGACACGATACAACACGACAATGTTTTATATAACACGAACACGATACGATACGATGTTGTGTTTTTTCTAACTAACACGAAAACGAACCAATTAAAAAAAACAATAAACACGACACGAAAAAATAACATAATATAACAATTAGTGTATTTAATTAATATTTAATCATACATAATACGAAAAACACGATAAACACGAGAAACATGACAAATAAATGCTAAATCTTGTCAATATCGTGTCGAATTTTGAACACGAACACGACACGACGCGACATCGTGTTTTTTACACTTGACACGAACATGACACGAATACGAATTCAAATTTCAGTTTCGTCCAAATTTCGTTTAATGTCGTGTATTTTTACCATGTCGTGTTCACAATTATCACCCCTACCAAAAATACGATGTCACACCCGCAAATTCTGATAGGAAAATTGATAGTTGCAAGTTGCAACAAAACTCGTAATAACTGTTTTAGAAAGATTGCCTAAAACAGAAAAGCTCATCTATACATAAAAGGTTTTTGGAGCATATTACCCACTTACCAATATTATATTTTTTTATACACAAGACAACATTATTGCATTATGTATTTTTCCACTCGATATATAACTTACTATCGTGGATTACACGTCTATGAGTTTCAATCTACGTATATATTTTATATCTATAATACACGTAGAAAAAGAACCATCTGCAGAAATAAACGTGTATCAATGGTTTATGATTTTTCACATTCACGAAAATTTCAAAAATCATGAGAAACCATATTCAATGTCCAAATATTTCCTATTGGTCTTTCGAATTTTAGATCAAATTCTCGGATTCACATTACATGTCATTGAATCATAAAGTAATAAAGAACGTTTCAAAGCAATACCACTTGGTTTCCATGTAGAGAAAACCTATTAAATTCAATTATTTTCAAGTCAAAAGTTTCATGGGACCAGAGGAAATTGTGTCCATAACTTCCTCTCGCATTGCTGATAAATTCAATTATTTTCATGTCAAAGCATCAATGGGTTGAAGAAAAAATGGTGTTTCATTGCCGATGTTTCTCCTTCTCTTTCCAAGAAGACGAAGAGATCGAATATGAAACCAGAACTCAAACAAAATCGACTTCCACTCACGACTATTATACTGCTTCTTCGGATTTGAATCGGACCATTTCCGATTTTCATGCGAAGCCATCAGGATTCCCAAACTTGATCAAGAAACCAAACAATTTGAGGGTTTTCACATTCGCTGAGCTCAAAGCAGCTACTAATAACTTTGATATTGCTTGGAATATAGGAGAGGGTGGATTTGGGTGTGTATACAAGGGTGTGATCCAGAATTTGGAACATCCTTTCGATGAGATTCAGGTCGCTGTGAAGTATGCCAAAGGAGTAATGAAGGAAAGTTTGTCTACTTACCCTTTCCTCTTTATGTAATTGTATCATTTCTAGGTTGAGATCATTATCGTATAGAGATCATTATTTGTTTGAGTTTCACTGATTAACCTTGATTATGTTGCAACAGGGGCATAGAGAGTGGTTAACCGAGGTTAATGTTCTTGGGGTGGTTGTGCATCCAAACCTTGTCAAACTAGTAGGTTACTGTTCGGAAGACACAGAAAAAGGAATGCAACTGTTTTTAGTATACGAATACATGCCTAATGGAAGCCTGAAGGATCATCTATCTACAAGATCACAAACACCTCTCTCATGGAGCATGAGACTGAAAGTGGCTCAAGATGCTGCTTGTGGCTTAGCGTATCTACATGAAGAAATGGATTCTGAGGTACTATTAAGTATACTCCCTCGACATACAAGAAAAATGAAAAGAAAAGTAGTTTACAAAGTACAAACGAACGTGCTTCCAAAACCAGTAACATTGGTTTTTTGTAGATTATTTTCAGGGATTTCAAATCCTCCAACATCCTTCTAGATGCTCAATGGAACGCTAAGCTTTCGGATTTTGGTGTGGCTCGAATAGGTCCTCAAGAAGGACGCACTCATATCTCAACCATGGTAATATTCATGAAACCTTCATTTACACATTCATAATAGTTTTATGATAAAATTCTGTCATTAGTTTCAAGGAACGGTGTTATATGCGGCACCAGAGTACATTGAATCAGGGTATTTGTCATCCAAAAGTGACGTATGGAGCTACGGGGTCTTTCTATATGAACTTATCACGGGTAGGCGCCCATTGGATAAGAATCTACCTCAAGGTGAACAGAAGCTTCTAGAATGGGTAGGACGCTACACACACTCCAAAAGCCTCCACCATATCATTGATCCGAGACTTGAAGGTACATGCTCATTGAAGTCCGTACAAGCTTTGGTCAACATTGCCAATCTTTGCTTACAAAAACACCCGAGATCAAGGCCAAAGATGAGTGAGGTTTTAGGATTGGTTAATGCATTGATTGGGGCTCTATCACAAACAACAAGTCCTGTGCGACCTTCGGTCCAGATGATTGAGGTTAACTGTAAGGAGATTGTTACCATGGATGAAAAGAATCAAGAGTACACGAGACATGAAGGAGAGAGAGTTTCCATTGATATCCAACTTATAGAGACTTCTATCGTTCCTCCTATATCCCAATCGAAGCCATCGAAGCCAGTGAAATCTTTGATTAGAAAGAAGTGGTGTTGTGTATCGTAGCAATTCGCAAAAGACAATGATCTTGATATTACATTAAGATTGAGCTAGATTCGGCTCTAAACGTTAGCAATTCATTATATAAGTTAAAACAACATTTGACCCGTGTGCTTCAATGGCATGATCGTGCCATGGCCAATGAGAACATTGCATGGTTTGGGCAACACTGATAACAGTCGTGAAAAGTTCAATGAATCTCAAAAAATCTAGGAGTTTTCAATACATTTAAAACCTAATTTTTTTTTTTTCGTTTTTCATGGTGGAGAATTAGTGAATCGTCATTCACTTACCTTCAAATTATTTGCATGATAGATTACGACATCCCTCTTCTAATGTTTGAATAATGTTGTTGGATCCTAGCCTTAATTTCTCATTTGGGTGTTTAATTAAGGATTCATTTCTAATCAAACTTTGTCCTTTTCTATTTCAAATGTTGAACGTCAACAGCAACGCTTCCGGCTCAAATTCCTCTGGCTCGTTCTCACTCATGAACTTTTGTGAGAGAGTGATCTTTGATGGGTCCAATTTCGATGATTGGATCCGCAACATTCGAATGGTCAATCGTTATGAAGACAAAGAGTATGTCCTTAATGGAAAGCTGACGAAAATCAACCTCAACACTGCCACTGCTGAAGAGATCTCTGCCTTTGAGGCCCATGAGCGTGATGCTACGAAAGTCCATTGCATCATGCTAGCGACTATAACTGCAGAACTCCAGAATTCCTATGAGGACATGTATCCCTATGAGATGCATCAAGATTTGTTGGACCAGTACCACCAAAGCACTAGGCAAGAAAGGTACGAGATCATCACTTCGATGATCACTGCCAAAATAGGTAATGGAGGGTCCCTTACCGCTCATCTACAAAAGATACAAAGATATGTTGATCGCCTGCTAGAGTTAAATGTTAACTTTGATGAAGAGCTGACAATTGACATCATCCTTCATTCTTTGCCTTCCTGCTACAACCAGTTCCGCATAACCTACCACATGAATAAGGAAGATGTCACTTTGAGCAAGTTTCAAGGCTTGCTAAGGATTGCTGAGAGAAATCTCAAAGATAAGTCTGTATGAAGTAAGAAAAACATACCCAAACTGATATAAGAAAAAATAACAAACATATTTTGAAACCAAACATATGTCCTGCTATATCATGTTAAGAAAATTTTATATTAATATATATATATATATATATGTAAGAATAAAACTTTTATAATAATATATTAAGATTTACATGAGTATTAGGTAGAGTTGTAAACGAACTGAATGTTTAACGAACTGTTCGTGAACCGTTCGGTAGGAAGTTCGTTTATTTAATAAATGAATGATTATGAACACAAATTCTCGTTCGTTTAGTTAAATGAGTGAACATGAAGAATAATCTCGTTCGTTCAATTATGTTCGTAAGCGCTCGTTTATATTGTTTGTTTACGTTTTTTTATGTTCGTTCATATAAGTTCAATTTATGTTCATATATGCTTAATTGTGTTTGATTATATTCAATTATACTTCTTTATATGTGTTCATTTAACATGTTCATTAACATAAATGAACAAACATGATAAATGTAATTTGTTAAACGAATGAACATGAATAAAAAAATCGTTCGTTTATCCATTTGTGTTCATTCATTTGTTCAGCTAACTTAAACGAACGAACATGAATGTTCGGTTCGTTTACAACTATAATATTACGTGATAAAATTTATAATAAAAAGTCAAAACCATATCATTTGAATTAATTATAAATATAAAAAAACATTAGAGTTTTAATACCATATATCGTTGGATGCTTTTGAAATATATAAAATTACATAAAATTGTATATAGATATAAACTAAAATTGGATATAATGATGATAAAATTATTTTTTCTAGACCATAATCATCAAAGGTTAAAAATCATCCAAATTTTAAAACCAAAGGTTAAGCTTTCAATTGATATCAATTTTTTTATGCATATTAGTAAATGATGATCTTTTATACGTAAAACTACATGCTAGTTGAAAACTTAGCAGACAATTAAAAATATTACTTGATAGTTAAAAAGTTAGCAGCTAGCTTATAAGTTAGTTAATAAAAATGATGTTTGGTAAAAAAAACTAGTTAATAAGTTAACTGGATGATATAAAATGTCATAAATTGACATTTAAGATGATAAGTTTTCTATAAATAATTAAGGATATATTTGGAATATTTTAAAAAAGTTCAGAAAAATTAGTTTAAGTAACTTTTTTAAAAAAGTCTCTTATAAGCATCCATTACAACTAAAAAAACTCGAAAAATATGTTTGATTATCAATTAGTTGTGTCACGCCAAATAAAGTCTATGTAAGAAGCCATGTCAAACATTTTGTACATATTACAAGTGTTCAACATTCTAAAAAGAAACAATATTATTGTATGGTATTAATTTTAATTTATAAAGTCATATAACAAATATTTATTATTTTGTTAGATGAAGGTTAATAAATTATAAAATCCATTAATTATATGGTTGTTTCAAATAAAGAAATCATAATTGTTAAACTATACTTATATGTACTTATATAAGATATATTTTGTTTGAAATAAAGTCATCATACCTATTAAAATATATTTATATTTAATCGTGTTTGATAATTATCAAAAATATGGATATGATTTATTTATTTTAAAGGGTATTTTATTCAATTTATTAAAATCTAAAAAAAAAAATTGTTAAAAAGTAGTTTTTGGATTTAAAATTTTTATTTAACCTAAAATTAAAAACTCCTACCACCAAATTTAATTTTTTGAATTTTTTTTCTTAAAACCCAAAGAAAGCTTCTAGAAGCTAGGTACTTAAAGCATCCATAATACAAGTAGTATAAGAGTTGAATAAGGTGATAACTAGAATTGAATAAAAGTTGAATGAAGTGTGAGTAATGACATAGAGTAGAGTTAAATAATCATTGAATGGTTCAATAGAAATAATAAAGTAATGATTAGGATTGATTATGTGTTTAATAAGTTGTGGGTGGTGTTGTATAGATTTTTAATGGATTGTGGATGCCTAAGAGTAATGTTTTAAAAACCGGTTTGAACCAGTCGGTAGAACCGGTTAGATCAAGAATCGGGGAAGAGAGCAGTTCAACTATCATCGGTTTTATGTCTATTTATGAACTGAAACAAACCAGTCGATTTTTACAAAAATCCGGTTGAACCGGTTAAATTGAATAAAAACACATATAATTGAAACATTTTGCATAATAAACCTTTGGTGGTTTTTTCATATCTATTTACGATTTTTCTGAATCAATACACATGATAAATGTTATGAAGTTTTTTGAAGCATTTGTATTCATATATGATTTTATGTTTTTAATGCACGTGGACTGATGTAAAACTAATGATTATGTGTTATTCTAATGTATTTAAATTGATTTACAATTTGTTTTCATATGTATTATTAATGTTTGAACTTGTACACATCAAATTTTTGTTTTATGTATGTATGTATCCGTTGAAATTACGAAAAAATATGAAAATTATAGAAACCGATTTTACTCGACGGTTAAACCGGTTGAATCGAAAACCGATTACCATACCAGTTCAACTAAAAAACTGGTTTTTAGAACATTACCTAATAATATACAATAAAATAATATAATTATCTTAAAATAGATTGTAATTATAGAGAATCTAAAATCTTAAATAAATTGATAGTGTTGGTATATAAAACCATATATAACTTCACCACTAAATTATCCTAATTTCTAAAACAAATTCCCAAAATAGAAGAGAGTGTATAAAAATTAGAAAGTCAATTATATGGCTGGAAAGGAAACTTCCCCTTGCTTTCACCTTCAAATTTTCCATTGATCTTTTTCTTAAATTCTGGCCTTTTGAAGTTGATTTGAATGAAAAATGGTGTTTTATTGGCGTTGTTTCTCGTTTGGAGAAGAGGAAGAGATTAAATATGAACCCAGAACTAAAACAGAATCGACTTCAACTGAAGAGATCGAATATGAATCCGAAAGTCAAACACAATCGTCTTCAGCTCAAACATTTTATACTGCTAGTGCTTCATCAGCATCCTCAAACTGGCCCGGAAAACCAAACTCATTGAGGGTTTTCACAGTCGCTCAGCTCGAGGTAGCAACTGATAATTTCAGTAGTGCTAGGAAGATTGGAGAAGGTAGATATGGAAGCATATATAAGGGTGTGGTTAAGAGTTTGGAACATCCTTTTAATAAGATACAGGTTGCTATCAAGTACGCCAAACGAGTAACGAAGGCAAGTTTGTCTGCCTCAATTTTTTTTTTTTCTTTCTAAGTTCGAATTAACAAGACCAATGCCTTTATGTTTGTATTTTTTTTAAGTTCAGATGAATTTCAAGTGCAAAACTGATTTACATTGCTTGTTTGAAGATTGATTTAGCATCCAACGGGTTTCCATTTCGTAGTTCGTTATGGATTATGTTTTTGCAACAATTTACAGCCCATAGTTTATTAATTATATCCCCGCAAAACGATGGAGAAAGACAACGAATAATTAGTTGGTATTAGTATATTTTTAAAGAGCTTTTTAGTCAAAATCTTACCATTTTTTTTTCTACCTTTGCATTGCCGTGTTGATTAGGCTAATTTATCCATTCATAATTCTTTATGCGTTTGAGTTTCATTGGAAATCTTAACTATGTTGCAACAGGAACACAACTGGTTAGATGAGGTTAACTTTTTGGGGGTAGTTGAGCATCCAAACCTCGTCAAACTAGTTGGTTACTGTGTGAAAGACAATGAAATTGAAAGAGGAATAGTACAGCTGCTATTAGTCTACAATTACATGCCTAACAAAAGCGTGAGGGATCATTTGTCTACAATGTCTGAATCACCTCTTTCATGGACCATGAGACTGAAAGTGGCTCAAGATGCTGCCCGTGGCCTCGCATATCTACATGAGGGAATGGACATTCAGGTAGTTTAAATGCTTCGCCATACGATAAGGAAAAAAAGTAGTTTACAAATGGGCATGCATCATGCTTAATTACAAGACGTAAACTTTGGTTTTTTGTAGATTCTTTTTAGGGATTTCAATTCTTCCAGGCTCCTTCTAGACAATCAATGGAATGCTAAGCTTTCGGATCTTGGGGTCGCTCGAATAGGTTCTCAAGAAGGAGAAACTGATGCGTTTGTAGGAAACGTGGCATATTCGTCCCCAGAGTACGTTCTAACAGGGAAAGTGTCATCCAAGAGTGATGTATGGAGCTACGGGGTCTTTCTATATGAACTTATCACGGGTAGGAAACCAGTGGATAGGAATCGGCCTCAAAACGAGCAGAAGCTTATAGAATGGGTGAAACCCTACGTACACTCCAAAAATCTCCAGCCTATCATCGATCCGAGACTTGAAGGTGTGTGCTCTA